TTAAACAAAAGTTTGACCATAAAATTGTAATTTAATTTGATGTTAAATATGAGTTCCTCATGTTTAACGTAGATTTTTACAAATAAGTGTTATTTATTTACTGGTTCCATTTTTAAAACTAAAAATGTTTGATACAGGGATACATAGGTTAACTATGTTTTCAGGGAAACACTGATGATATTTCGTTTGTGTATCGGTAACAAAAGACCATTGTACATTTGCTTTTGACACTTATAAAACGTTGCCTGTAGTCCATTCACAATTTGCTGATATGATTGTCCTTTTGTTTGGCGTATAACATTAATAACTATATTCTACTAATCATTTCGAAAAATATATTATATCATTTTTAGTTTTACAAATGTATTTGTATGGTACAAATTCTCAGTGAGAAGTATTATGTTTGCTCAAATTTATTGATAGGTCAATTCAAAGATTCGCTCAAATGTTATTTGAAAATGCCAAAGAGTAAAAATATAAAGTAACTTATATTACAAAGTATATTTATCTTAACATCTCTAAATTCAACCGAGCCCCAGTCGTTCCATAATAAAAATAAATGTCATGCTAAACAAATTGTTAAAAAATTCAAACAACTTTTCTTGAAGGTAAATCTGCAATTTTTAAAGACAGTTAGTTTACTTCACATGTAAACTTTAATTTTACTTGCAAATAACATATGGTTTGCTGTGCTAAAAGTAAAGAGTTAAGGAAAGGTTTTAAAAAAAGGTGGAGCAGAAATTTATCGTGGAGAAAACACTTTTTAGTTCACGAACATTTGAATACTGTTTTAATTTCAAAATATCCCTTTTTGTTTTTTTCGTTGTAAGTATAAAATACTTAAACCTATATTTTGGGCATACTTATTTTTATAGTTCCATTTACTGTTATTTCGATAAATTGCACGTTTTTGGTGTTCAATTAGACACCTAAACATGCTTAGAATTCACAATCAAGTTGCCAAGCCCCAACACAAATCCCTACACAAGTCGGCTAATAAGATATTTTGTTTTTCAAACTCCAGTCACGTGGTTGCAATCAGCTGACCGGAAGTCCAATTAGGCTGGCTTCCTGCTTCTCGATGATACTTGGTCGGTGAATTACAGCCAGGTAGTTTATGAAATGTTGAAAAAAGGTGCCCTGCTTTACCAGAATCCAGTATAAACAAACCAATTTGAATTGATTTCAAGAAATAAAAAAATATGGATTGATAGTATGAATAGGCATGTAAACAATATACCATGTTTTAAAAAATGTTTCATGTTTTTTAGAGGAAATACAGTAGTATTTTGTGGCTGGTAATTAGTAGCTAATCGAAGTTATTTAGTCCCAAAAGTCAGTTGTTATATTGCCTGACACAAATAGGTTAAAATTATTTGGTAAAAATGCCAGTTTTAGATTCCTTCTTATGATGTGACAATTGTTTTTCAGTATTGGATACAATACTAACATTTTTCTATAGCAAAAATAGCTTTAAAACATAAATAAACGCTATAAAATAATGAAACATACGTTGCCCAAAATTAAATTAACTATGAGAAAATAGTCGACATAAAAAACTACACGTGTGCGCTAAAATGCTCTTAACAGATTCCAGTTACACTCTGAAGCGATCGGGGAGCCAGTCAGTTTAGAGAAAGAGCACTGGACTTTGTACCTCGAGGTCCCGGGTTCAAATCCTTTCAATCCCCAATGGATTTTATCCAAACGATAATGCCGCAACCCACTCAAGAACTAGCTCAAATTAATGTGGACAATATTCCACTTAACGTAGAGGGAAAATGTATACAATACAAAACAATCTTAGAAATTGAGAGTTTGCATATTTATGAAAAAGGATGACGTCATTGATGGAATCACCATCGTCTTGTGAATTATTCAGAATTTCTTTGTTTATTCTTCTTCTGTAAATGGTGTATAGTTCCAGAAAGTATTATCTTTTACCAAGCAGAGAAGGTACATAATTCTATTCGCGAATGTCTACAGTTTTTCAGAAAAAGAATTAGATGAGTGAGATTTACATACAGGATTATGATTGCGGTGAGCATTATCTCATCTTTGCATACTGGGTTTTAAGATGGTGAGGGTTCTAACGTTGGCCAACTTAATAATGGTCGTGAACATGTGTGATAAGATACTGACATAATTTATAATATGAGTTTATTATATAGTATTGAAAATATATAGTATAATATTAGTGGATCAATGTGTGATGGAAATCGACAGCTAAACACAATCTTAAACTTTATACTTATAGGTATTTTTTGACGTAGGAGGATGCACGATACGGATGAGTGCCAAATGAACAAAATTCGTTTTTAATTACCAATTATGAGTGATTTTATCATCGGGACTTTTTAATAAGCCCTAAAATTAAAGGCATTTAAGTAGAGTATCAAATTATAAAAAATATTTACTTTTTAATAGTTCAATCTGTTTACATTTTAATTATTACTGCGCTTGTAGTAAATTAAATCAGCTATTCAGCTGTGGTGACTACATTAAGATACTACAACAAAAAATAGTTAATCCAATTAAATGAGGCTATTTAGATCTAGAACATGTGTAGCAATAATATTTATTATTTCATTTTCTAAATGTAAGTTTTGAAATCTTTCTTAACAATACGTTTGGTGATTTGGAATGAATTATTAAAAATTTCACTTTACACAAGATCATAAAACAACAATGTTTTTGTCCGAACTGTATGCGGCTACTAAATCAAATTGTGTCCATAAAAGAATAAAGCGATGTAAAGTAATTATCCTTGTTAAACATGGCAGCAGTCAACAGTTGCGCTGAGAATATAAACTAGTTAAAATTTCATTTAACCTTCTTTGTTTTATATTGCATTTTCAATGTCCCTGGGATATCTTTTAATCATATTTTATGATAATTCGTAGCAGGAAAAACAGCATGAACTCTAAATTAAAAGTTTGTATTAAGCTTCCATTATTATATTTACATTTAGACTATCTTTTGTAATAAATCAAATGTAAGTATTGGCTACATTTATAAATAAACAGAAACATACAAAATTAAGAACTGATCTGCAAATAGCATAATCAATAAAATTAAAGGCCTGGTTGAAATAAAAAAAATCTTTTTTGATATGAGTTTTCGCGATTTGTCATTTCTCAATAAATTGCTCTTATTAAACACGAAATCACTGATCAATAAATTTGTGAATTTTGCTGAATACCCTTGAAAATCTACTTTGTTATACACACTTTTCATTCAGACAATCTATATACATTCAAAAATGTTTAAAATGCATATAAGTAAAAGACATTAATCTTTTTTGTATTCGTTTGACTTTTGTTGAAATCCGTTTACCTTTCATTTCATGACCATTGCAGTAAAGTTTTATATGAAGGTAGGAGTTAAAAATGCCAATATGTATAGTTTATGCTCTGTTCTTTTCAATATAATCATCAGTTATATCTTATTAAAGAGTCTGTGATGAAATTAAGTATCAAAATTCTGCTATTTTTTTACAAATATGTTTTTTGCATTATTTTTTTCATTTTTGATAGATGTAGGTATAAACGGAAAAGGGTTGTTTTTGTGAGGGTACTTTTACCTAGTCCTAAATGAGAATAGTAAGTTTTCACAGCATTACAACTTTCTGTTAAAAGCGCTTTCCCTTAAAAGTGTTTGATTTCATTACAAAAACGCCACTGGCGTAGACAGGATAAAAAAAATAAAAATAGGCCACATCATGAGAAACATTAAAGTATTCCTCATTACCTTTGGTAACAGTAGATTTACCACTTACCAGTTGGGTATCAGTAAATTCCGGAAATAAAAATTGTTATTGGTGATGCGTTTTTAAAATAGTTTTCTAAATTTCCATTATTTACTGAAAAACAAGTGGCATTTGACAGATGTAGTCGAAAAAGTTGTGCTGCAAAACAATATGTCGGAATTTATACGTTGACGTGTTCATTTATCAACGAAATATATGAAGTCACTATTGTCCTTCCAAACTGACCAGACAGCTGGCTGAAGTGAGCTTTACTAATCACCTGTAATAAACACTACACAGAGAAATAATATATTGTAACCAAGTGTTTATATTTTGTAACTATGTATGATTAAACAGCAAATAAAGCAATTGATGCAATTATGTAAACATCGTATTTGTATGTAATTTTTTCATTAGCTGTTTAGTACAATTTAAACAATCTAAATAATTTTAACAGATAAAAATTGTAGTTCAAATATGTTAAATGGTTCTAAATAAAAAAAAAAATACAAAGCTCAGTACGTTCGGGATCCAACAATGAAATTCCTCATTTCAAAACTGGCCTTGATTTAAAGTCACTTTTAAAGTCTAGTACCTTTTTATACTTACGGTACAATGATTTTTTTTTATTTTAGTTTATAGCTAGAACAGATATGCATTTTTATAGCAACCATCAATAAATTTAAAACAACCATATTTTAAGTACTATAAGTTAGTGAAATAAATTGTGATGTAAATCTAAAACTGTAAGAAAAGCTTTCAATCTGCTAACTTAAATGTTAAAAGTGTTACAAATTTCATGGTGTGGATTCAGAATTAGTTTCTGTGTTTCAAATTAGTCGTAATTAAAATTATACTTAACGGATGTGGTAAGATTTTGAATGGAAGTTTCTTCAATACAGTCCTTACAAATATAAATACTATTTAATACACTATATGAACCTCTAAGCCATTAGATGAACATACTTATTTATGAATTAAATCAAATAAATTTCACTAATTTGTATCATTATCCATATAACACGTGTGTAAAAGTATGTTTTGCAAACAGAAAGATTTATTTGACTGTATAAATATTTGGAATTTGAAATTTATTTTTAATTTAATTTTTAATTTAACAAGTTAAAAACTATCAAGGAGTAAAATAATTTAAAGAAAATATAAGTGCAAATGAAGGAATATATATATTCTACTACAATTCTTATTAACATTAGAACATGACTAAATGACTTATTGACTTATTAACGGCAAATATAACAATTTATAGTTTCTAAGATTTATTGTCGAGTCCCTCTCGGGCAAATTCTCGGCGAAGTTCGGGTGTCATCGTAAAGTTCCGGCGGACACACGAAGCCATGGGGGGAACTCTGCAGGAACACTCGACCTCCTTGGTATTCCTCTCCAGCCAGGGGGAGAGTTTGTCACCGACGTCCATCGTCAGGTTGCCGAATCTGCAGTGTTTACCTTGGGGTAAAACGGAGTGAAATCACTATTAGTGTAGATAGAGTGGAACAGAGGTTGACTAAATATAATATGAGGAAAAAAGGGTTATGATCTTCCACTAATTCATCTATTCGGTTCGATCAGCCACTCTGGGTCTGTTCTATCTTTGCCAGAGATCTCATTTGAGAGAATGTTAGATAGGAAACATTTAGCTGGACAAATAGTATACAGTGAACAGGTTACAAGTATGCTTTTTCATGATACCACTACTTCATAACGATACCATCTTTTTCATAATGAGTAAGGACTTAATTTTATCCTTAATATGCATTACCGATTAGTTTCGATTATCAAGACCTTGTTTTTTTTTACTGACCTAACATACATTATTTTGAGCTAGGACCATTTCTAAAATTTCCAATTTACTATGAATTTCTGAGTAGAGATTTTAGTTTTTACCAATCAGAAAGATAAATATTTTTCTCATAAATTGACCAAAACCTTAAGAAACCTTAAGATTTGTGTCACATTGTGTAACCCCTTTCATTATACTATAAATTACTATAACATTGTTTGAACATAAACCACTTCATGTATTAATAATTACTACTTTTTAAATGTACAATCATTGGAAATCTGTGTTCAATTTCCTGGGTTAGATGGAATCGCAGATTTCTCCAGCTTGTCGAAATTGGCAACTCACAGGGATTGGGAGCCCTTCTTTTTATGCTCTCACCTTTTTCCAAGGACAAGTTTTCTTCCTGGGTACGTCTTTTCTCCCTTTCTCCAATTTATGAGTTTTTCCTCCTATTCTGGCTTTTTTGTAGTAGAGCACGGGGATAGGGGTGGGTTGTAGCTTTGAAGTTACGAGTTAAACACTTTACTTTACTCAATGTAAATAGCACAGGTTTTCAGAGTATACACACTGACCATTTTATATGTTTAAGCATAGAAAAGAAATGTCATCAAATGTTAAAAACTTTCAACGCACCTAGTTTATTAATTGTTTTAGCCATCTTATATTGTTTTACCTGATTTTATGACACTGACGTCTTTAGCTTTGACAATCCGATCACTTGGCTTTGCTGAAACAATTTACATTGTAAATGGAAGGACTGAGAATTAAAGCCTCGAAATTATGCCATTTCGTAATCAAAGACTAAAAAATATCGTATTGTAAAAACATAGTGTAAAAGACTTTTATAAATATATAATTATAATTTTAAATATTTCAACAAAAACCATATTAAATATGAAAAGAAAACGTTTACAAGTAGGCTTTTACGTATATAGTGAGAAATTCTTCAAGATAGCATATTTTATGTGTTGTAATTTTCACTTAAGATCCATTTTGGTCAAAGGCTATTTTCCAATAAAAAGGTTAAACCTACTAGGTACGTTTTTTAATTAAGGGCCGTTTTTAAATTTCTTCGTTCCAGCAGTGCGATTGGCATTTTCAACATTTGCGCCGTGTATGTGCATCTATTGGTAAGACATAGCCGGAAATTTGAGAAAAATCGGCCGTGTTTACATCCGGTTTCAAGCATTCAAAATGGTGCCGCCAATTGAGACTGCCGCCGACTGTGAAGTGCGCGCTGTAATTAGATTTTTAAGAGATAAAGGTGTGAAAGCTATTGAATATCATCGACAGATTAGTGAAGTGTATGGCGAGAACATTATGAGTGACGGAATGGTACGCAAGTAGGTAAGGACATTTTAAGACGGCCCCACCAACGTTCATGATGAGCAACGCACTGCACTGGTTGTCATCATGGGTACGGGGACAGTAATGACGCCGCCCAGTGCGTTACTCATCATGAACGTTCGTGGTACCGTACTTCAATTCCCATATCCACTTGCATACAATTATGACACTCATAATGTTCTCGCCATACACTTCACTAATCTGTCGATGATTTTTAATGGCTTTCACACCTTAAGCTCTTAAAAATCTAATTACAGCGCGCACTTCACAGTCGGCGGCAGTCTCAATTGGCGGCACCATTTTGAATGCTTGAAACCGGATGTAAACACGGCCGATTTTTCTCAAATTTCCGGCTATGTCTTACCAATTAGATGCACATACACGGCGCAAATGTTGAAAATGCCAATCGCACTGCTGGAACGAAGAAATTTAAAAACGGCCCTTACTTAAAAAAACGTACTAGTATATTCTCCCCCAATTATTTCCAAGAAATTACCTTAACCAAAAAATTTTTTCTAGTTAACTTTTTATCATAAACAAAATTCAAAACTATTCCAGTTGGATGGTCTATGAATTAAAACCTTGAAATAATATAATTTAACCACTAAGTTTGGTTGGATTGCCTGTTACTTAGAAAGCATACATGGTGTAAAATACAAATGAATAAAACCACAATACTTACGACATCTAAAGCTGATAGGGCAACAGCCATGGTCACTGAGGTACACGGGGATACAACCCCTTGTGAGCATGATAGGGGTGTCACCCCACAACTCTAGGTCGCAGGCGAACTGCTGGCAATAGGGCGGTGCTATGGTGCCTACAACGAACGGACAAATGTAACATACCACTGAAATGACCGTGCGGAAAGGTAAACTAACAAATACCCCCGTCGCAGCAAACCTGCATACTAAGCGAATTTCCATTTACCCAGCTTGATTTCTACTAAAATATTCCCTATAAATTTTCAGATTTATTTCCTATTTAAATAACATTAATTTTAGTGAGTAGTTAGGTTTGCTGCTACGGGGAAGATGTTGAGGTGTGTTTTTTCAATTGAAATATTGATAGCTTAGTATGAAATAAACCAAATTGCCAAATTTGATTAAAATATATCCATAAACAAGCAAACTAGAACAGTTTATTTATTCTCCATAAGAATAACATGGGAATTTTAAATTTACAATTTTTTTAATTTTCTCCGTAGTCAATGAACATTTAAAAACACTTCAATATACTAAATTATTTGTTTTTTTAAGCTCTTCAAAATGGACTAGAGAGAAATTTAGAAATTTAAAGTTTTTAGGGTCAAAAATGAGAAAAACCCATTTTTACCCCATAAAACCCCCCATAAACCCCTGATCCCATTGTCCGATTATGCTGGTTCGCGAACTCGTTCGAATAAATGTAGGTTTACACGTTTGTACCAAATTTCATCAAAATCGGATCAATTTTGCTCGAGTTATCGCGCTAACGGACACATATATAAATATATATATATATATATAAATATATATATATATATATATATATGAATTTGAACGGATGGTGTTTTTGGCCTCTGGGGACCTCAAAACGAAAAAGTAAATCGGTCCCGGGTCTAGGTCTTACCACGAGACCTACGGTAATAGCTTATTCCCTATATGGGAAATTCGCTAAAAAATGAAACAAATAAGTTTTTATATTAAAAACTTCATTCTTTTCAAGAAAATTCTTGTCGTTTGTAACCATTTAAGACACCCTTGGTCTTTGAAAATTCGCAAGGAAGTCATGTAGAATTGTTTACAGCCATAATCGAAAAATATGCTACGAATCAGTTAAGGGGTAGTTAAACAATTTAACCCCTAATGTTGCATCGATAGTTTGAACAGCCCATCTTAAGTTGAGTTATAGTTTTAACAACAAAGGTTCTTATTATTGTATTTCCTGTTCTTCTTTGACACATTTACCTATGTAGAATCAATCATCATATTAGACAAATAATTTCGGAATCCATTGGTATCCAAGATGTTTATGGACCTAAATATACAATGAATTGTTGAATATCTACACAATATTCTCGTTATGTGGTTTTGTATATAGTCCTAAATGGGAAGATCAGGAAAAAGACTACGAATTTACAAATTGTTATCCCGACTTCGCTCTACCCCGGAGCCTTCATACGTATTACTTTAGCCTAACCCTAGGGTCGAGGCACTATAATTGAGATAAAATCCATCAGGTGATTGGCGGGATTTGAACCCGGGACCTCACGGACAGAAGCCTCGCGCTCTATCTCACCCTGACCTTTGTACGAGAACAACTACAGGCCATAACAAATTGTATGTTCTGTAATCGTTTTGATTGTTTTTTTTTTTATTAATCGTCAACATATCCTTACCATTAAACCCAGAAGCACATATACACTGAGTACATGTGATGTCGTCGTGCGGGAAGAACTTTTCTCCTTCGCTGTAGGACAAGCCTCCATGAACGCACTTGACACTGTCTGGCTTCCCTGAACATATTTTATGATTTATGCGAGTTAATCATAGTTGTTTCAAGAAACATGTAAAATTAAACCTCTTCATCCCTAGAGGAAAAGACTTGAGGTAAGCTATGCAAGTTATTAACCGTTAAACATTTATTTTGATTATTATTTTTTCACATTTCATATTTCAATACAATAGAAATACCTTTTAATAACAGTTGGATGGATAGTAATGTAATTTTTAGAATATTTTTTTTTACCTAATTCTCGTGTTAGCAGAGTAATTATTTACGTATGGTCTCTAACAACGGAAAAAGTCATTATCATTGAACATAACTAGATAAAGCCCTTTTTAGTATCTGATTTTTAAAAACCAAACAGTTAATGATTTGATTTTAAAATGTACTGGTGTTAATGTATGACTACAAATATAGATCGTAATGCTGACGAAAAGAGTTTATTTTGAATCTCATTCATCTCTTGCTCAGTTAAACAAGAACTCGTTTTTATTTTCGTCATGTTCTGTTATATTTTGTTACATTTCTAAGTACAATAACAATGCCTATTTATCTCTACAATAAATAATAATTACAAAAAAAAGATAAAAACAAAACGTTCTCGTCATCAAATTGCATTATTTAGCTCCAAAACAATAGAAATACTGTACCAAAAGTACGTAGACTTTTTTAAATTAGTGTGGTGCTAACCACCCTTTTGTATTACACTTGTAACACGTTTTTGACTAAAATATTAATAAAAGCGTATGGTACAAAACAAATACGATATCTGCATATAAACACGTAAACACTGGAAAACAAAAAACATAAATGTATGGAGTCAACTGGTTGTTTCTGCCAAAACGTTTGTTCTCATTGGAAGTTGGTTTAGTTTGTCGTAGTAGAATCAAGAAAATCACAAATAAATTCTAAATGAAAATTATCGTTTAGAGGTTAACAGCCACGGTTAATTCTGCATATTTTCAAAGAAAGACTTACCAATTTATTTTACCTCCCAATTCACTTTGGATTCCTCAACTGTATAGTTAATTATCACCTGTTCATGGTGTTACCTTTGTTACAGCTGACAACCCCTCTTTGGCAGCAAGTAAAGTCCTCCAGGAAGCTGTAGTGACGACATCCAGAAGGTGCGGGACAGACTTTAGGTCTACGAACGTCGTGGGAGCAGTAGAACCTAGCTCTGAAGAACAATGGAGGTGGAGTTAGTAACGTAATGAGTAGGTGTAATATTTCATTTCATTTCATTCATTATTTAGTATTAATTTTTTTTTTATGTTAACTTCTATTCATACACCTAATAATCACTCCTCAGAAAGACTGTCCTAATATTCATTTTCCTAATTTATATCATTTCATTAATATGTTCAATTAATCATTAATAATATTCATTCCATAGCCTATATATATTTTTTTACAACGCCCACAACCTAATTATTTATTAAATATGTAAAAGAATTGCAATACATCAAAATTTCTTATAATATCATTTCAAAATTAGTCCTTAAGGAATCAAAATTTAAGTAGCAGTGAAAGTGATCCCATGTGTTCAACAATAGTGATGTGAACATTGAGATGGAAAGAGAAGGAAGCCATTGAGAAGTTGAAATTGTTAGAAGAAGGACTCAAAATTTTTACCTAAATCAAATTCATTCATCAAGAAAACCAGTTTCAAGTTATATCACAGTTTTTTTTAGCCTAAACCTCAAGAGGACTCAACTCAATCATTATCTTCAAAATTAAGTATAACCTTTTCTTTAAACTCTTTTAAATTTTGTACTAATTGGACTTACCTTTTGGACAACACCAAAATTAGATTTTCCATTGTTGAGATTGTGTAAATTTAACACTTTAATTAGGCCTATTTGGACGCTATTAAATTTATTAATTATCAGCATTCAAGCCAGCACGACACCCTACCCTGAGAGATGTCACATCTAAATTATTTGAACCTTTAAGTTATTATCCAAATTTATTTTTTTATTTCAATTTAATTTCAACCCCATACACCATTGTCAATCCTTTCATTGTAACGTCAAGCCTTTTCTCATTGCATGTTAATTGTTCATTTGTTTTAATAAAACACATTTTGTAATCCATATCTTTGTTAACTTATTAACTTTAAACATTTGTAGAATAGGCCTAGCCTAAAATGAATATTTTAAGGTGAATTTACATAGGTTGTAGGAGAAACCTTCATTTACAAGTAGTTGATTGGTGGGTTTAAAATTAATCATGTCTTAAACTTGGAAAATTACGATTGAGTGTGAGGTGAAGATAAAAGATAGACTAGTCACAGATACATAAAGTGGAAAAATGCAATGGTACACTTAAGTAGTGTCTAGGGTAAAGGGTAAAGTACAACACTGCCCCCATGAACTACAACGTTCTCGGTGGAGGAAGACCCGGTGCGAAATTACCGCAAAGTGCTCCACGACTTATTTGTTAACTATTACTAGTACCAAAGTACAGTTTTGTCGCATGTATCTTAGCGTGATTCCCTCAAACGAGTGTAATAAATAAAAAAATAATAATAATAATAAGCTGAGAGGTTCATGCATACACCAAAGATATAAAAATAAAACAGTGTATGAACATGCAAACTGATTAAAAACGATTTGGTTCAAATTTAAAGTGAAAAATTAATATATCCATCGTCATTATTAGTAATACTAACAATTATATCACCTTGTCTATATCATCTTCTAGCAACATTTCCATTTTAAAATAATTTTAGCTTCAAACAGTATACAATAATTAACCAACCACAACCAAATAGAGCCAACATTTTCACATTAAGGCTAAGATTTCTGAAAGATGTTTTCCATTATTTGAGCGTTTAGTAACGATTGTAATTTCCTGATAATATTTACTCTGTTCTACGGTGAACAATCGAGACATAAAAATCAATGGATATTGTTCAAAGTTATTTTATTTTTCACTTTATTTAATTTATTTACGTGTGAAGAAAACAAGTTGCCTATTTAGTTTTAACAAATGATAAAAAGTGTAAAACCAAAACAATGATTTAAACTACCGGGTTTCAAATTGGTTAATAATCTATGTATTTATTTTGCTTTTACCATCTCACTTGGACCTAAAAGGCCTGTACATAAATGCCGGGCAAAAATATAAACCAAAGCAAAGTGTGAACCAGTACAGCTCAAGGAAGAACAGTACAAAAAAAATGTTTGTGGCAAAATGAATACGCAAACCCCGCGACCTGTCTTGCTTCTGAGTCCGCAGCGCTATCGGCCACATATTTATTGACCACAAACTCACATATTTATTGTTTTTTAGTTCAATAATAAACACCTTTAATGTGTTAAAGACTACAACTCACCCCTCGTACATCCTGACACACTGGCAGCTCTGTATACAGGGTGAATGAAACTCCACCATGGCACTGGTGAGGTTGAAGCCTACGTTGTAGGATTTCCCACCGTAGTAGCAGCGGTCTGCGCTTCTGTCTCCTAGTGTGGCTGTATAAAGTCATGGTTTAATGTGTTTAAGACTAGAACTCACCCCTCGTACATTCTGACACACTGGCAGCTCTGTATACAGGGTGAATGAAACTCCACCATGGCACTGGTGAGGTTGAAGCCTACGTTGTAGGATTTCCCACCGTAGTAGCAGCGGTCTGCGCTTCTGTCTCCTAGTGTGGCTGTATAAAGTCATGGTTTCATGTGTTTAAGACTAGAACTCACCCCTCGTACATTCTGACACACTGGCAGCTCTGTATACAGGGCGAATGAAACTCCACCATGGCATTGGTGAGGTTGAAGCCTACGTTGTAGGATTTCCCACCGTAGTAGCAGCGGTCTGCACTTCTGTCTCCGAGTGTGGCTGTATAAAGTCATGGTTTCATGTGTTTAAGACTAGAACTCACCCCTCGTACATCCTGACACACTGGCAGCTCTGTATACAGGGCGAATGAAACTCCACCATGGCATTGGTGAGGTTGAAGCCTACGTTGTAGGATTTCCCACCGTAGTAGCAGCGGTCTGCACTTCTGTCTCCGAGTGTGGCTGTATAAAGTCATGGTTTCATGTGTTTAAGACTAGAACTCACCCCTCGTACATTCTGACACACTGGCAGCTCTGTATACAGGGCGAATGAAACTCCACCATGGCATTGGTGAGGTTGAAGCCTACGTTGTAGGATTTCCCATCGTAGTAGCAGCGGTCTGCACTTCTGTCTCCGAGTGTGGCTGTATAAAGTCATGGTTTCATGTGTTTAAGACTAGAACTCACCCCTCGTACATTCTGACACACTGGCAGCTCTGTATACAAGGCGAATGAAACTCCACCATGGCATTGGTGAGGTTGAAGCCTACGTTGTAGGATTTCCTACCGTAGTAGCAGCGGTCTGCACTTCTGTCTCCGAGCGTAGCTGTATAAAGTAATGGTTTAGTGTGTTTAAGACTATAACTCACCCCTCGTACATTCTGACACACTGGCAGCTCTGTATACACGGTGAATGAAACTCCACCATGGCACTGGTGAGGTTGAAGCCTACGTTGTAGGATTTCCCACCCTAGTAGCAGGGGTCTGCGCTTCTGTCTCCGAGTGTGGCTGTATAAAGTCATTGTTTAATGTAAGGTTGATATTTCTAGTAGTTATAGTTTCAGTTGTTTTGACATGATTTTGTATTTTTTTTGTCTTCCCAATAATTATTGAGAAAACATTGTTTTCTTCCAAATCTTCGAGTTTGGGTTTTGGTAGGAAATATTATTTATGGATGCCCCTGAAGTAAGTGGGTATAGATAGAGCTAGACTACACATGTGGTTCGGATTTGATTAAATTTGTTATGTCTGTACTGATCTATAATATCACCATGAGTTTTCGTTTTTTTTTTAAATTTCGTTTATAATATATATATTCCTATCTAACTCTTCAAAATTAAGTTAAGTGTTTTTCACAAAATTGCACTTACAATTTTGATTGCAGTTTGTTTTGTTACAGTCCTTTTAATCTATGAAATTTTGCACCTTTGAGATATCCCTCTTAGTAGGTGTAATAAGGAAAACGCGATGTTTAGCAATAAACACACTTAGGCACAACACAATATAAGGAAGACAGAAATTTATGTCTAGACATAAAATTATTCCAGTAAAAAAAACAAAACTTGTAAATTCGAGGGGTTGTTCCTTATGAAATAAAAATTTGTCGTCGTATTGCTGAAGTTCTTAAAGTATTTGACATCACCATGTCGTACCATTGCTGTGAAAAGTGGAATTAATCCACATATTTTAATTTATGTACATAGTGGAATTCATCCACATATTGGAATTCATGTACATAGTGGAATTTATCCACATAGTGTCATTTATTCACCGTGAGAAATTTGTACACATACTGAAATTTATTCACATAGTGGCATTTATCCACATAGAGTAATTTGTCCACATACTGGAGTCCATCCACATGGTGGCATTTATCCACATAGTTGCATTTATGCACTCTATGACCGGCTTAGGAAAATAATGGATTGTTGCCTATAATAGGGCCTATATCTTTTATTTTAAATGAACGTAAAAATAAATGGTGTTAAGTAACGTTTATATCAAAAAAGTAATTATTATCAATAACTATTTTAGTTGTAGGCCTACTCACCACATTTGTAGTTTGTTGGACACTTAGCTCCAGCTGATATTTCCGGTTCACACTTCATATGACGATATAGCTTGTGGATATGATGGGTGCAATGTGGATCCTCTACAAAAATTATAAGAAATATAGTTAAAAAAATGATGTTTGACTTTTTTATTAGACATTCGGCGTAGAAACTTTAATAGATAGGATATTAAGGATGATTTTTTTTAGCGAAAAGTGGACGTTGTACTCTGTAAGTACAAACAAAGTGCAAAAAGTAGTACAAAAAGTTAAAAATAATAATCTGTTCCCAAATAACTTTCTCAAAAAACATGCCAAATATTCCATTACTTGGGCAATGCATACACATTTGTCAATCGGACTTTCGTAATTGTCATATCTATTATGAGCTTTAAATTTACAGTTTGTAGCTTTCTTAAAAACCTCTGAAACAATTCCTAAGCCATATTTCTAATGTAAACCCGTTTAATAAAGCAACCCATGGTTTTGAAAACATCAGATGTGTTAATATGCTAACAATTGTTTAATAAAATATTAACCAAACCGATCTTATTATCGCACTTTTTATTGGTTAGTAAATTACTGTTACATACAAGAATTGTGTATGTTTTGTAGATAAGTGAAAAAAACACATTTTGTATGTGTTCATTACACATTGAAGCCTGTTTAGTATATTTGAATGATCTAAGTGATGTCTCATCATAAAAGAGATATGCAATTAGTTCTGAAATCCATGTTATGTGCAATTTTCCACAAAACATACTACTTTAAGTAATTTTGTCCATATGTCTTGTATTGCACAGCGTTACATAAAATTTACTAAGTAAACTAAAAATATACTATCACACACTTTTATTTATCTTACAATTACATTTAAACAAATAAATTATTTTTTCCAATATTTAATACCATACGAATTAGAAAAAAAACTAATTGTATCAAAGAATTAGATTATTCAATATTGATACATACCTTGATCTCGATGGTCTCTTAAAATCATTGTATCTGATACAATACCCTCGTTGTATAGTTCATGAGAGTCTGAAAAGGTTACATTGTGTTATCGTAGATTTTTTTTTTAAACTAGAGTTTATATGTCAATAGTTAAGGGTGTTAGTATTTTTCCACAACAGATTCCATTCCATGTTTAGCTTGACCCTTAGATATTAGTAACATTGAATATTTATTGTAAACATAATTTTAAATTTGTTTGTTTGGACCGTTGGAAGCAAAATAAAATAAAAAAAAAAATACAATATTTTTCGTAGTTTAAGTCTTTAAAATATTTTTATTTAATCAAACGTTTTCTACAGATGGTGCATGTAATTAATAAAGCATATCGAATAGACCTAAATAAAAATATTGGCATTTTATGTAGTTTTTTGTTCTTTTAGTTGCATCAGTTCTACAGACAAAGAATTTTAACAAACAATTTAAGTTTTCTCCCTTCTTTATGAACAGACTTTCTTGAATTTGTTACCATTAGAATTGTAATAGAGTCTAAAAAAACGAACCGTCAATAATTTAGCTTGTAAATGATTGTCATTTTGAAAATAAAAACTATAATTTTTTTCCTAAATAGGTCTTTGCATTATTCATTTACGTACTGAATAATAATCTACTGAACAAAAAGCTTTTATAAAATAGTTTTGTGAAAAACAAAATGGTGGCTGTACAAGTAACTTTTGAGTTATAGAAAATTTTATTTTGGTTCGACTTTTGTCCATAATGCCACTTAAAATTATTGGACAGTTTGTAACCACCCTGTATATTGTACACACACATGAAATGCCAATGAAAATTATTTAATTACTTACATACAATGGCTGCAAATACACAAATGACAAACGCTGAAAAGTGCAGCATGTTGTTGCGATGTAGTAGAACTGACTAACATGAATTAGTCCTGCAATTGGACAGTGGGTTATCCAATTTAAAGACATGCGGGCGTACTGACTCACGGCAAAAAGTGTGATCTGCGTATTTGGAAACAGGACAATTGGAAACACAATATGCTGACCAATAGCGTTAGGTATGTAGCAAAAGAGAAACTTAACTATGTAGCCTTGCTTGTAATTTTGACAGATTTTATAATGAACTCGCATTTTTCTTTTGCAACAAAACGGTTATCCTTTTACTTGACAAACATTCTCTTTGTCTGTATTTGTATCAATAGTATCCCATGATAAAATGAAACTGGTTCCATAAGGTACATTGAAATAGGTCTTTAGCTGTTTTATATGATGATTAATTTCATGGTTTTTTCATATACGGATACACCATTTTCACAATACTGTTTTTTCACAATACTGTTTACAGAATGTCTTTGTGACAAATAACTGGTCAGTACATAAGTAGTGAAAATACTGGAGACAATAATTTATTAAAGACAAAAAACGTGATTCAAGATTCACTGTAAATAACTAGCAGAACAAAATAACAATACAATAGATTCCAAGCAACAAGAACGAAATAAGAACAGAGAACAATAATGATAACGTCACAGTAAATACTATAAATGAGTAAATACAGGCTAATCAATGATAAAAAAACAGATATCACTCAAAATCCACCTTTTTAAGAGAAGTTTAAGATTTGTGTTTGTTATTAACTGATTATACAACAACATAATTCAGGTCAGAGTAAATTTTAATTGTATTTATTTTACTTTGAACGCATTCAGAACATTACATTAGTGTAGGTGTAAGATTAAAGGATAGGTGTCCTCAAAGCTTCGCAAAGACACTTAGAATGAAGAGGTAAGCCACAAGGTAGTGGAATGCGCCCTGAAAGTAATCTTATACACTTGCATCAGGTATTCTAGAGCATTCCTTCAAACGTAAATGACAAAACGCCTGTTGGTCCATCTAATGTAATCTTAAATTAAATAGAGAATAGCTTAAATTAATACATTGAAATACTTATTTGTGAAACAACTATTCTAAAATTTTTATTTTCAAAGAATTTATATCTTGTCATCAAAAATACTTGTAATACTTACTTACGTTTGCATATTGTATTTCCTATGTTAACCAAATAAACAACCTACATTGTTAAATAAACTATAAGGTAACAAGTTTTTTTTTCGATAAATAATATAATTAATTTAAAGTTGTTTACAAATTCACTTTTGTTTGTTGACGTGCCTTCATTTATCTATTTATTGTTAGGCCTATATTAAGTATTTTCTAATATTTTACAAATAATAGTTTTATTACTGCATCTCCTTTATGACGAAGGCAACTTGTTATACTAATGATGATAATACTAACGCAAATTAAGAGACTAGTTGAGGCACTTTATAAACTGAGATGTTGTAAAATGCTTGTTTTAAGTGTAATACAATAAAAATCATAACATGCAACACCAGGCTAAGAGCTTTAAAATTGAAGAAAACTATATCTGTTTCAAATGTTTTTAATTTTTTCGCCAAGAATTTCTGTAAACTTGTTTCTTTTCCTCAATTATAAACTTATCCAAATTTGTCATGCCTTGTAGCAAGAACTCCAAATTCTAGTTCATTTTAGTAGTTTTTAAAAAAGAAGCCTTATGAATTCGCTTTTTAAGTAGGTTTGCTGAGAGAATATTAAATTTTAATTTTTTTGTTCTACGCAACTGGAATTTATTTAATTAAATTGAGCATTCCAGGTCTTTTTTGCTGTTTTTGTTGGATAGCAACATCAAAATAGGAGACAACTGAAAATAGGGTCCTAAATATATCTCGCTTAGAATCGAACCAGATCATCAGATTTGAAGCCAAGCACTAGAATCTCTGGCTATCTACACAAATTACATCACATGTTTTATCCCGTAATATTTTACAAGCATAAAACCCTTTCCAATCAATTTTTACATCTCTTTGTTTTTTCAAAGGTCCATTTACACGCTCACCCCGCAGGCATTATAATATGGACACGTATTTGTTTTAACACAAAAACACCAATCACTCAGCAAAATGTATTGTTTTCTTGCATGTTCGTTCTTGCTTTTGTTTTTTCTCTGTTTTTCGTTTGTTTTTTGGAAGGAGGGGTTCAAGGCATATGGCTTTGAAAATACCTTATAATTTATATCTTAAAATTAATTTATCCATGCGCATCTTCTATAACTAGTAAGTAAAGATTAATGTTGCCAATTAAAAGGAAAAATTAATAACAAAATTTACAAATTAATTGATTTAATTAGTAGTAAAATATATGGGAATTACTCCAGAATATTTAAAGCTTCTATATATTGTTTCATTATTAAAATATTTCGATATACCATTTTTATATTATTTGGAATTTGAGGATTCAGTTTTTTTTTTTTCATTGATGCTCAAGTGTTTTGAGGTTCAAGTTGTATTGTACGAACACTTGTGAAATTCTTACGGAGAACATCAGTGATGAAATGAATTAGACCCAAAATAAGTAGACAATATGCAGAAAAATATGCAGGCTTGTTATTTCACATTGTAATATGTGGTTACGGCACACATGTAAATATAGTGGAAATATTGTGTTTTGCGAACAAAGCTCTCTTTGCACCATAAACCACATCGCTGTCATATTGGAGGAACAAAAGTTCTTTCGTACGTGTTATTGATAAATGTTCAATGGAAAGGTGGTTAACAAACGTTATTCTTATTCTTTTACTTTCACAGCAAGGTGATAATAAGGTAGGAGCGAGTTTGATAGTCTATTTTTAAAACCATATTCCAGACCAGTTGAAGGAAATTAAAAACAAGTTAATTGTTGTTGTTTTTTTATGCAATAAAAAACACTTTCTAGAATTTAGTGGCTATGATCCAATATTTTTCAATATATCTATGTATAGCCTACCTATTAAAACCACGTTTTCAACCCACAGAACCCCTCAACATTTGGTAGCTCAAAACAACCAGAAAAATCATCCCAAATAATTACTCTGATTTATTAAGTGCTGCAACAAATTTTGCTGATCAATTAAGTAGTCTTAAATGACATCAGCCAGTAAGTTGTCATAGCTTACACAATCATTTTTTTTGTAAATTAAAAACGTTTAGGATGTCATAAAAAAATTTAAAAAAATTTTAAACTTAACTTATCTAATAATTCTAAAACATATCTCAGTTGTCAACAACAATCCATGGTCCCAGAGGGTCTTAACATCATACAGCGTTCAGTTCTGATATTGCATACTTAAACTTATGCTCTAAGGAACTCTTCAAAATAAGAACTGGAATTTAAAAGCTCAGTGGTCCACTTTTCAAGAATTATTCGGTTACAACTACATTCCAACAAAATATTCGCTAAATTTGCTAAATATTCATTTTTGACATGATTTAAAAATTTAAATCAAAATGTATTCTCTTTTGAGAAGGGATTAAACATTGTGCAGTTATCTCGACAAGAGCACAATGGACAATACACCATTTATAGTCACCAAACGTGTTTGTATTGTAACGATAACACAGGCAGAGTTTATCAGCTAAAGTGCAGAATTACCCTTAGTGGTAAAAGCTACTGATAACTTCATCCAGAACTGAATTTGCATTTAATGATGTATCGTGATAGTTCCTTCATAGAACCACGACAATAGAAGCCTATTAAGTTGATGTTAACGTATTGTTTGAATTAATGAAATTAAATAGATTTTTATTTTAATTTATCTTGCATATAAATGGAAATCTCAAATTTTTCATACTAGACAATGTAATAAAACTTCTCTCAAATGGCAGTAACATAAAGTTTCTCATTGTATCATAAATTATATGAAGTTAGGAAACTATCTCTAAACTCCTTATAGTATTATGTCTGTTAAAAGTTATATAGAATATGCCCACGTACGGTTACCCGGGTTCGAATAGGACCTCAGCTAGCCCCATCTTGTCGTAGGAGGCGACTAACAGGGTTGGGAGATCCTTCTCTTCATGCTTCCAACCTCAATCGAAGCTATGAAGAAGGTGCTATACCTTTTGTTATACTATCAGCAGAAATTAATTTAATTTAATATGTATGTTATTAATACGACCAATACATCGTTGTCACAATCATAGTTACGTTATTTGTCAAGTGCTGATGAACTTAAATTATGAAATCCATTTATAATCTCAAAGTACCCATGATTTGTTGAGAAAACTATAAATCACAGCCCCATAAACCATATACTTAAAATGTTTGTCATGACGAGAAACCTTGCGCAAAACTATCCATTATATTATAAATCGCCCTTTAAGGTCGTAGTTCCTGTCTAAAGTTAACTTTCCGTATACATATTGTTAAAAATATCTCAGCTGTACTTATTTATATGTTATTCTTCCAATTTATTACCTTATTCATGTGTGATTATTTGTTTGTATTACTGTATTCTGTTTGTTTATTTCAGCTTAACCTAACCAATCAATAGTTTTATTAATACTTATGTAGTCAAACTGCGTGAAGCCCGTGGGTAACAGCTAGTACCAACCTCAATATCAATGGTGAAAGTTCCAATACAAAAAGAATTAGCGGTTTTCTCATTTTGTGTAAAAATAACGAAATAACTAGCTTTTTGTGCACTTTTAAATGTTAAACTCCTAGCTAAACAAATTAAATATTTTATCATGTTGCTTATGAGATAGTTGTATGTTTTAAACTATTCATGATTCATGGTTATTTATATACTGTAATAATATTTTCTAGATTACAATTAATTACTTAATATAAATTAATTTCCAGTGCAGCTTTAACTAAACTTATTACTTCGTGGCCGAGGAGTTTCTCCTCTAACAAAGTTACTTCCATTCCGCTTCTACAATTCCTCCCTAACATGATTTACAAACAACTTAAAAGAAACCCGTAAAACCACAAATTTTTATTTTCGTAGCGGAGCAAAGTTTTCTAGAAATTATTTCAA